CTTAATTTTGTCCGAATGTTTGAACATTTGATCATCGGATGCATCTCTGGATATAAAACTCATATGATTAACCCTAGTCATAGGATAGCGTATATTCATGTTAAATCCCATGAACCGGGTCAAGCAATCATATATACTACAATTTTAATATATAAATTGTGATTAACAAGCAAACTATTTTCAATATACAAGATATAATGATATTTTTGCATTATTCTTGTAAAATAGTGCATAAAAATGATTTAATAATAATATTTTTTGCTGAAAATTAATATTACATAAAGAGTTGTGGGAGCTGTTTGAACATTTGAGATGCATAGAGTAAACGCATAGCCTGTGCCTCTGCAAGTGTGCCACCGCTCTGCACACACTATGCAATAATACGCTAGCGTTCAAACTTCCCCAACACCTCACCAAATGAATATAAGCAAAAATATTGTTTCTAAATTATTTTTATGAATTATTTTACAAGAATAATGCAAAAATATCATTATAGCTTGTGGGTTGAAAATATAATAGTCTACTTGTAAAAACATAAAGTTAGTGCAAAAACAAACCATTTAATGTGACTCATAGTAAAATTTGTTTCATATTGGGCGGAGGCCACCATAGCGTTGGTAAAGTAATTTTTAATGATTCTTGTTCTATCATTGTTGGTACAGCTCTTAACAATTTGACCATGCTTCTTTATCACACCGATGTAATGCGCGGCATTCGCACTGTCACCGTACAATTTGGTCATTGATGAAATTATGACATCAGTGTTAGCTTTGTCGAATCTAATTAGCATAATTTAATTGTGCTAATTTATTAATTATTTTATTAAATTAACTAATTACTATACAATGGATCTCCCGTTCTCATGTAAAGTTAAAATTATTTGTAATTTCAATTTAATTCAATGCGATTTTTAAAATAATACTAATGTTATATTATTAAAATGTCTAATAATTAAATAGTAACTTGCTTCAACGCAGATTATGAGAGTGAACCACTTTTTTTTACTAACGACCACCTAGACATTAGTACACTATAATTAGTACACAACACGTCTGCATGAAAATCAGCTTAGGTTGTATGTATTTACGCGTATAAGAATTAATAAATTCAATTCAATTCAATAATTGTATTGAATACCACTAATTGTGTAGTTTAGACCAATTATAATATTTTAAAGTCAATATCTCGGGCTTATAGCCCAATGGGCGCCCCTGGAAGAGGGTTTCATTTGCAATTGCATTGGAGAGTCGCATAAACACCAGCGTTACTTGTTTTGCGGCTTACAAGTCAATTAATTCTTACATTCAAATTAAAACGTACGAATTGCAACTGAAACCCCTCCAAGAAGCGCCCATTAAGCTATCAGCCCAAGATATTTACTTAAAATTATTATATTAGATCTAAACTACACGATTAGTGGCATCCAATACAATAATCGTGTATTGTCGATCTTATGAGAGTTGCTTAGTTCCCGGTAGCGTTTTCTATGGGTAGACCCAGTTGTCTGTCATTTAAATGTCTATGTAAAACAACGGGTCTACCCATAGATTACAGTGCATTTCGCCCTTAAAAACTAAGCAACTCTCATAAGATCGACAATACTGCAATCTTGATGGTCGGTCGTTAGTATATTTCCAATTTTAACTTTTTCCTCCTAAATGCAAATGTACTTTTTTTAAACTACTCCTATGCCAAAGAAACTAGAGAGCTTAATTATGTTTGTTGGAAACACAACAATAATGAAATATTCTTATAAAGTGAAAAATACAAGAATAAATATTTTAGCAAAAAACTGTAAATACATTAAAATATTCAAATTATATATATAACTGTTATATATTATATATTCAAATGATATATTATAACAGTTCTATACACCTATTATGTGCCAATCTCTGAAATATTTCTAAAAGTTGAATAATTTTACACTTAATTAATTCAATTGAAAATATGAATGCCTCATTCATAGACAACCATTTTATTTACTGTTAATTCTTTAACTTCATAGAAGTGCATGCAATAGCTATGCATACAGTATACATGATAAATTTGTCTGTGAATGAGGAATTTATATACTGTATTGTAAAAGCATTAAAAGTTTTTAAAATTTAATAATGAAAAATCATACGTATTCTAAATACAAATGATTCAAACAAAGAAATACAGCAAAATATTTACATTTATACAAAATATCAACAATTTTTTGTGCCAACTTTAAGCTTAATACTAATATAATGTCTAAATTTATATAAATTACTTACCCTACACACCATAAACTTATATGCTTGCTGTGAATTTCATGTTCTAAATAATCCTTGTGTAGCAGAAAACCTGTCAACTTTTTATCCAAGGCCATTTCGGTTACTGATTGGACGTAATTGTCTAATACTTTGTAAAAACATGTTTTAAATCAATTTACTGTATATGTGTAATATTTATATAAACAGTTATGAGATCTTACAATTCTGAGTTTTGTTTTCAATATTAATTATAGCTTTAATTATTAGCAAATCTATAGACACGAGATGAGATTCAGGGACTTCGGGTAAATCCGACCAATCACAGGTGTGATCCAAACTTACAGGTAGTGAATTGATGTAGTTTAACAATGGCTTCAATATATTTTGCATATGTAAATAATTGGGAAGTACTTCATGCTTTCGCAAGTGTTGGAATCGAATTACTTCTCTGAGCATTTCATCAATGTACTTTTGGATAAAACTACAAATTTATGACATGAGTTTTACGGTCTCTATTGTCAAACAAAACACACATTTAGTGTAAAAACATACCATTTAATGTGACTCATAGTAAAGAGTGTGTCAGGCCGTGAGGCAGCCACCATAGCTTTGGTAAAGTAATCTCTGATAAAATGTGATCCGTCATTGTTATTACAGCCCTTGACAATTTGACCATGCTCTTTTATCAAACCGATGTAATGCGCGGCGCTTTTACTGTTACCGTAAAGTTTGCTCATCGATGAAATTATTTCATCAGTGTTAGCTTTGTCGAATCTGATGGGCATAATTTAATCGTGATAAATTATATAATATTTTATTGTAATAGCAATTTAACTATTTAATTGTGCTCCCGGTCTTATGTGAAATTAGTTATTTGTGGCTACATTTCAGTTTACCCTAATATTCAGTGCATTACCCGCGGGTTATCTATTGTAAAAAGTGAAATTTTTGGAAAATTTTTATGTGCGGGTTATCAATGGGGTGGGTTATGTATTGATTACTGCATGTAGAATAATATTCACATACAAATTATTTAGGTGCGGGTTATACATGGGTGCGGGTAATGCACGGAATTATAGGGTAATTCAATGTGGTTATATGGTCACTAGAGAAGTCAATGTATATCGCACATGCGATTTTGTAAATCAATTCACTTATAATAGATTTATTTAATTTGTAAAAATTATAAAATACAAATTTTAACCACAATTCAGCTATAAATAATGTGGTTTATATAATCGTTCTGCCTCCTCCTTCTCCCCAACCTCCCCCACCCTATGGGATTTAACATGGGGTTGCATGTTAATTTTATGACATAGACTTAACATGGGTAATGATAATCTTATTAAGCTTTTCCCATAGACTTAACATGGACTAATGTTATCCGATGGGTAATGTTAATTCTATGGGAAGTAATTTCCTATGGGAACGCGAAATATGAAGGGAAGGGGTAGTTTAAATCTATGTAAATCCTATAGAGCTAATGTTAAGTTTATGGGAGAATGCGTTAATATAGGCTTTATGAGATTACAGCTTTGTATTACAATAATCACAATTCATTTAACATAAAGTTTTCTAATATTCATTACACAGACAAAACAACTCGGGAACGAAATCAATTTATTATGCTTTTTAAAAAATTGAAATATTCTAAGACTAAATAAAGATAAGGTTTAAGATGTTATCTCTATCCAAGCTTTGTCTTTGTTAAACATATTAAAGAACATTGTGTTAAATAAGTGGCAATGGTTTGATGCAAACCCACTTAAAACTACTATTTCAAATGAATAAAACGTAAAGGCCAGTGTCTCTGCTTATTTACAATAGAGCAATTTATATTGGTCAATACATTTTCCCAAACATAAATCATTGCTTTGTTTATATGAATTACTTACTCTACACAAAATACATGCATATCCTTGAAATAATTTGGGTTTTGTTTGTATTCCATATGGTAATTAAAACCTTGCAATTTCTTATCCAACTCTTCTTCAATCATCGATTGGACACAATATCCTAACAAATAAATGCAAATTAAGTGAATCTTATTTAAATATATTGAATTATTTTATTTATCAGTGTGAGTTAGTGTCCGTGAGTAAGATAGAGAGAGAGAGAGAGAGAGAGAGAGAGAGAGAGTTTTGTTAATTGAATATACAATTATTGAATGAATAAATTATAATTATATTAATTTTGTAATAATAATTGCGCTTGTTAGTTATAATTAAGTGTTAATCATTTACCTGATATTAAAATTAGACAAATATTTACCAGATACATTTTAGAAATTATGTTATCACTATTATATAATCAATTAATTAAAACAATAACAAAATTATACAAATTTGTGATCAATTATAATTAACAGCTCAATTCCTAGTTTTTACATACGTGGCTCAATATATTTAAAAATTAATTAAGTAATTAAAAATTACTATTCATTTTAATTAAATTACAATGTATTTGCTTTAATATTTTATTTTGTAATATGTACATTAGTTCAATCTCGTGTGAAAAATATGAACAATAATTAGGCTGACCAGATGTCCTCTTTTCAAACGAATTTTCTCCATTTGGACTTAATTCGAGCACTGTTTTTAAAATTTCTTTATTTTATTTTAAACAACATATAAAAAATCACTCAAATCTGCAATAAAATAAAAATGTCGTTTTTTCTTTTATTCTTTTTAATTGTTAAAAATTAGGTATGATGTCTTCTTTACCTGAAATTAGAACTGGTCAGCCTAACAGTAATATGCACAAATTAGTAAAATATAAAATTTAATCAAATTGTACGGTTAATTAATAGGTTTATGGCAGGTTGATTATCTCTATCGTGTTTCAATTTAAGAATAAATTATATAACAAAACAATTTCACAAAGCGATGCATTACTTTAATCACAATTCGGGTATTACTCAACGAATAAATTAGCATTATCTACATATTTAATATGAGAACAATACATTTATTATAGATTTAAAATTGTCCATAGAATTAATATTAATCCCATAGACTAAATATTGTTGATTGACTTAATCGGGAATATTTTTATACGGGAATCCCGCCTGGCCATTATCTTGATATGGTCTGATCCAGTAGATCCAGATGATTTATAAACCGTGTTAAAAATCTGCCAATTACCAGTGGCTGCAGAGTTATTGCCAGTTTTGTGATCACACACATAGTGTTTATAGCATTGGATTTTGGTGATTACTCATGATTTGTGTGAAATACCTTTTTCACTGCTATAAACACTATGTGTGTGATTACAAAACTGGCAATAACTCTGCAGCCACTGCCCATTGGCAGATTTTGATCACGGTTTATAAATCATCTGGATCTACTGGATCAGACCATATCAAAATAATGGCCAGACGGGATTCCCGTATAAGAATATTAGCGATTAACACTAATTATATAGAATTATCCATATATTACATTCAAATATTGAGTTTTTAGGTTTTTACTCAATTTACTCTCGCTTTTGAATATTTTATAAAAATTATTTTTGTTAACATTATTAGCATTAAATGTAGTATTTCAAAATACAATTAATTTTTTTAAAATCTAAATTTTATTTCCACTTTCAAAGGATAACATGCAAAAACAGCCATAGTTTGTTAACCTGCTGTGTAAAATCTATCAATTCGATGATTGTTGTGTTACAATATTATTACACTTTGACAAATTCATCCAGTTTAGCCCCATAATAGAATCACATTCGCAAATCTCAAGACATTGACGCCATTGACATCTTAATGCAAAACACCATTTTTAACCACAATTCATTTATGAAAAATGTGGTTTATAGAATCGTTTAGCCCGCATCTCTTGACACCCCCGCTCTATGTGATTTAACATGGGATTACAGCTTAAGTCTATGGCTATACTTTAACATAAGTAATGCTAATCTTATGGAATAACATGGGTAATGCTAAGTCTATGATATAGGAATAACATGGGTAATGTTAAGCCTATGGCATAAATATAACATGGGCAATGCTAATTCTATGGATTAATGTTAAGTTTATGGACAATGTTAAGTCTATGGGGAGTGTAAATCTTATGGACTCGTATTAAATGTATAGATAATGCTAATCTATTTTTTGCGCAATACCCAAATTGTGGTTAACGTATAGCATCGCTGTGTGGACCTTGTTTAAATATTAAATAAGTTTTTTGTAAGGAGCATCATCTTTTCAGATGAATACATAACATTTTAAATAAACTGATTTGATTTATCACTTGACCTAATAGTAAAATAACTTTTATATAAAACAAGGATCACACAGCGATGTTATACGTTAACCACAATTCGGGAAATTCAACGCTTTGTGAAATTGTTTTGTTATATAATTTATTCTTAAATTGAAACACGATAGAGATAATCAACCTGCCATAAACCTATTAA